AGCTAATGATTAGTCTCTAATAAAATACAACCGAAAATCTAGAGAATTTTAGCGTTTAATACGTTGACGTTTTATTGAACGCTAACTTTGTATAGCGTATATTAGTATGCCCGAAACATTCCGCATACGAGCGTTCAATATCGAACGCCTCGTTGTAAACAAAAAAGTTGTCTAGTCATATCCTCAGAGCTAAATTAACGAAATTAAGTGGCATTTACATAAGATGTATTTATTTATCACACAAAATGAAATTATTTACTAAAAATTTTGTGCGTATTAAACCCATTAAAACCTAAATAAGCAAATCATATCACTCAATTGAGTCATCAGAATGATGTTATATTGAACGCTTACAGGACAGACGTTAATTTGAATAACGCTATTTGAAAAATCATTAATTTGAGTGTTTTTTAGTTGAAATAATTATCATAAATTACTATAGATGTACTTTTTCCCACGGTGTCATAATTCCACAGAATCTAAATTTCTGTTTAATCTGTGGGTAGAAAATTATGCAGATTTTTTAGACAGTCACCGTATGCCTTACGTTTACATTAAGTACGCTTGGACAAATTTCCGAGGAAAATGTGTGACCGCGTACATAGAGTAAATTAATATAAGTTAAACGCGGAAAAATGTACTTCTACAGTCTGGGAAATGTTTTTGTCATATAATAAAGGAGTTATGAAAATTATTGTGTCCTGATAAGACGATTGGTAAAAGTGTAACAGCGTGTTAGGAACAATGTGCCAACACAGTGTTCTCAACACTGTCAGGCTAAGGCAACTTAAAACAACATGCAGCTGTGCTGACACAAAACATGCTTCTATGGTAACAAAACTTTACAAAGTTTATTTTGTGTAAGCTTGATGGTATGGTGTAAACAGCCTGCTGAAACATTTTTGAAACCGTGTCGTCATAAACACACTAGCCGATTGTCATCATGGTCATAAGCGTTGTAGTGCATTTTTACTTCAAGCTAGCGTGCAAGTGTATTAAAACAGATAGCATGTTGTCATAAACTTTGCATAGCATGGTGTTATAAAGGAGCTAGAGCCACATTTTTACTTTGCGCTAGCTCATCGTTCCTTATGCGATAGTGTTTTGTGACTTTAATGTTACTTCATTAGCACACTGTGCCTAATGTAACACCTTTACAAATAGATATATCTTGACACATAAAAATTATAATCAAATACCATCTTTCTGACTGATTAATCATTTAACAACTGTTAACCATTACCATTCCTAATAATTTTTATAAGAACAAGTAATGTACATTTCCTTTATTTGAAATCATGAAAATCTAATGTGTTATTTTAAAACATCCTCAAATGACTGCTTGTAAACCTATATTCATAATTATTATAGACTAGTTTTACAAATAATACACATGCAGAAAATGTGATAGTGTCTTTGAACTCAGTTTGATGGTTTATCTTATCTTATAAGTTGCACTTAAAAAAAAAATCAATGAAAAATTTCAATTTCTTTTTGATAGGTGTGACTGTGACTGTCATCTGAGTACTGAAATTTGCTGCCAAGCACGATCATGATTTGCCAGAAGAGCATCTGTTGGGAGAGCAGATGAAAAAGTATAAACAGCGTAATGAAATTGAAACTGTCATGTGAAACAGTTTCAGTTTATGAGGATGACTTTAAATATAGCATACTCGAAGTTAGATTTGAGAAAAAGACATAAATCCACAATTTGAAAAATATGAACATATCAATTGCTTTCAGTTTTTCAAGAGAAATAGATTTTGTTACAGAATCTAGTATGTTTTGTTTGGAATAAATGTTCTTTTTAAATGTGTCAGATCTTGCATGTTTACATAGATATGTATTAAGGTCTTTCGTTTCTAAGGGAAGGCATACCAATGCTCATGGTTAAGATGATAAAGCTCTGTCTTCAGCAGCAATATTTAAGATATAATATGTGTATTTTTACAGTATTATTGAAGGAAAGTTACTATTTTGCCATAAACAACTACACCATTAACATATGTGCATTTTTCAGCACAAAGGACATGTACATGTTGTTTCAAACATAAGATCAAAGAGATGTCCAATCATATTTCAAAGTCAACAAAGCACTAAATCTGTATACAGTTTAACACATATGATCTAATGCTTTAGTAATTTTTTTTTTTAAATAAAAGTCACCCATTATCATCTTTGAATTAAATTCATCAGAATTTCATGTTCTTCTCAGAACCACAGGACAATTTAAGTTAAACTTGGCACAGAGCATTCTTTAGTGTAGGGGAATAGAATTTGTTCATATGAAGGGCAGTGCTTTTAAAAGGAGATCTCTTTGTTGAATGTCCTGTTCAGAGAACTTTACTACACTCTTATTGAGATACCACCATTTGCCAGTGGAGGTCTGCAAATTAGAGACATGCACAACACATTCCTTTGTTTTTCTTGTAAAAGTATTGGTCTTTTTTCTGACTGACAAAAAAATGGAGATAGTTCATCAGTAACACATTGGGATTACATTCTATGATAATACTATCTAATTATACTGTGTAAATGTTTTTGAAGCAAATTTTAAGCTTATGATATATCCGTAGCATAAAACACTTCACTAATATGATTGCATCATAGGTGATACTAGTATATGTCTACAAATCAAAGTCAAAATATGAGGTTGTATAAATTTTGTAGGTACAGTTTCAATGGTGTTGGAGAGATTACCATTGGATTGTTTATCCTTGTGCTCACTTCAGAATCAGACTTTAAGAAAGGGTTTTTGCTGTTTGAGTCAAAGAAGTAAAGAATGGTAGCAAAGTTGACATTTGAACATTTCAGTTTTTGCTTATTGCTAAGAAGGAAGACCCACTCGTTGCTTTGCAACGAGCTTTGCTCTAGTTTTATTTGTAATTTGACTCTAGAACGCCCATGTCTTAATTTACTTGTAGGTTACGTAACTCTACAATCGCTGCTGGAGGCCTAAGGTCAAATTTCATTCAGCCTCTATTCTTCAACAACAACAACCTATATTTCAATATATCCGAAATCATCGTAGGCGATTTATTTGACTAGTTAAAGTAACCAAAGTTGTCTTAAAAACAACAATTTAGTTATGAATTTAAAGAGATCAAATCTTGAAGTTCCATTGTGTTCCGACTTAAACCTTTTCGCAGAAATGCCCACTTGAGCTAAATTGGGAATAAATTGATGATATGTTCATTGTTGATCTCATTAAATTATACAAATATTGCTACTTTAAGGTCAATGTGATGATTCATTCTTAGTACCTGACCCTAAATGGGACAGTCCAGTTTGACCTGGGGTAATCTGATATTACGATTAATATCATATTGCTTACTAATATTGAACTTCCAAAAGGGGAATTTTTAGTCTGCAAGAATAAAGGAATGTTAACAAAGCAACGTTTTAAGGAAATGTGAGTCAACATGCACGTACCATGTTTTTAGCATTTAAAAATACACAAATACTGGTCTACTTATGTTTTATTCTCAGGTACTTCAGAAACTGGATATTTACATTGTCTTTCAAACTATAAACTTAAAGAACTACCACCTATCGCGCCTCAAAAATACCCTTATTGTGTTACGTAACAAATGTTATTTGAAGAAATTGAACTTTTTGTTTTTAGACATTAAACAGCCTGATAATTGATATAAACTTGTAACCGACATAAAAGGTGCTTATGTACTATACTTAACAAGGAATAGCATAAATATACTGTACGGAGAAGGTAACATACAAAAATGGCGACTAGTGCTGTTTATATTATATTTTTTCTTATTTCATTCTCACATTATGTTAATGGAGGAACTTATGGCATATTTTCCCCCGATCTACGACTGTCCGGATTTGTCATGGAGAAAATTGTCCCAATCGGAATGGAGATGTGCATCAGGGAATGTTCGAAAAGAGTTTCTTGTGCCTCGTTAAATTTTCAGAGAAGTCTTTTAGAATGTGAACTGTCCTATAGCGACGAATCAGAGAGTCCCTCTGATCTGACGTCGGATGTGAAATACATATACGTCAGTCGAAGCAATATTCCAGGGGTATCAGTCTAGATTTTTTTAAAAACATTTCCTTTCTTATTTTTTAAAATTCTTTAAACGACCTTTTTGGATAGGATAACCTTCTAAAATTATAAATTTTGTGAAAATTTAAATCAATTATCTGTATCGTCGAAAAATTAGTACCAGTACATGTACATGAACTTGAAAACACAGACATCAAATTTTATATGTTAAAAAATGCATGTCTATTTCAAAAGATACGAAAAGTTTGTTGTTACGTAAATATTTTGTTTTTAAAGTATTAAAATTGTTTAAAAAGAATGCTTTTACTTTATGAAATAATTTTAAAAACGGCTTATCTCGGGAAACACTTTTTTAGTTTAAATTTAAAAGAAAAGATTTGAAGTTAACTGCAGTATTTATACATAAAGGAACCAAAGTTTTGATATGTTACAAACCTAAATACATGTACATTTCTTTTTATTTCTGTCCTTTAGGAATACTCTGGGTCTTGTAATGCATCGTGCTCACTTCAAGAAAGATGTATTCCCGCGGCTTCTGGTCCAAAGTGCGTCAAATCAGGTTTGAAATCAGCATCTGAAAAATTTACAGTTTTGTTTTTGTTATTAATACTAGTAAGTTTTCGTTATTTTAGAATTTTTAATAATTGATAATCGATCTAACGGTTTTCGTTTTCGGTAATTTAATTGTATACCACACTGAAAAGTTAATTTCCAAAAAATAAGGGGTACTTTTTAAACGATTTCTTGTAAACGAAAATTTGAATAACATTATTATAATATCGAATCATTTAAAATAAAATGCTGATGGTAAAGCTAATATAAATTGATTAGTTTATTGTTGTGAATGAATTAAGAATTTGGCTTTCGTAAAAACACTCTTCGAAAATTGATAAATAACATTTATTATCAATTCTTAAGACTGCCCTGACCTTCATCCCGACGCGACCTTAACTTCGGTCATGGTCACAGCCACAAAGAGACTGTCCTTACCTACACCTGTAACTCTGACCCCTCAATAACCTTGACCTCTACCTGTAGGAGTAATGGGACCTGGTCATCTCCAGCCTATGTATGTGGACAACAGTCTAACCCGCCAGGTATTTTAGTTCTGTACATTCATTCTGAGATGATATATGGAAAAAATAACGAACAGTTATCAAAATACAAATTAGGAGCAGAGCAAACACGGACCTCTAAAACACCAGAGGTGCATGGGATTAGGCGCCTATAAGGAGTAAGCATTCCTACTCATTGACAAAACATTAGCAAATGATCATACATTTCAGTTATTTCTACTCTCTCTTTCAGACTGCTTTAACACCACGACTTCTTGTTGGTACAAGTACAACTTTACACATGACACTGCCTGGAATGGATGTCCGGGTGGTCCGAGGTATGTCAAGAAAACGCAATATGTGTCCGCACCGTTGGTCGGTGTAGTACTCTGCAATTCTACAAGGTAAGAAAAATTTCTTCTTGCCAGAGTGAATGTCAGTTGAAGGAGGATAACTTAAACGATATGTGTTTTGTTCATACATTGACTTTTGTTTTGTGCTTTATTTTTTTTTCTTCTTTTTGTCGTTTATATGTCATGCTGGGTGCATGGGTGAATAAGAATCAAAATCGAAACATATACAAATGTAAACTGCTATTAACCTAAAATAGAAAAATGAATTATGTATTTGTACCTTATCAACAGGTACAAGATATTTCTGGGTATGAATTTGACCGACACATTTTTGAATGTTGGTGATGGCAGCGGTCATGGAGCGGATCATTGTGAACTGGTAGGGGGACTAGAAGCGGATGCCGTCCTACCCGGGGACTATATGAGTTCCCCCACACTAACCGGTATGTTTAGAAAGGGTGTACATTACCACCCTACGTATAGAATTCTAAGGGATATCCCTAAGAAAGGATAATTTTGAAAAATCCGGGAAAATGTGTCAGAATTTTTTTTCTTTAACTTTATTAATTGCATAGTCGCAAACCATGGCCAAAATGTACAATCCTCTCTCATTCTGGAGAGCTTGAGACGATATTTTGTTTTGTTATAATATACCAAGTAATAGAAGCACACTTGACCTTTAATGAATGTTGACCTTGAGCCTGGAGTTACTTTTGTAAAACTTTATCAAATTTTGACCTTGGTTAACTTTTGAAAGGTTGTGGTTAACTTTTGAAAGGTTGGTGCAAAGGCTTTCTGAATTCCTACTTTACATGTGTATCTTTTTAAAAGACCTTTCCTTGAGTACCAACAGTTTAAACCATTTGACCTTAACCTTGGAGTTTGACCTTCGTTTGAAAAACTTTAACATATACTATAACTACTTACGTAATCCTAGAATTTCCATCTTTATTTTTAATTAAGAATATATGAATTTTTTTTTTCAGGTTATGCCCGCAGTGAAGTAGGGGAGGAGTTCTTTATGGACATTTTATCTGGGGACACCGGATGGTGGACTGACTCCTGGTACGAGTGTGGCGTTCAGATTCCCGGCCCCCAGGAACCGCGTGAGCACAGTTTAATTATAGTAAAACTGGGTTATAACAAAGTCAGTTGGACATATGAGATTACTTCGCTATATCCGTATATGGAATTTTTTTTATTTATATACCTGGGGATCCAAGATAACTTCGCTGTATCCGTGAATTCGCAATATCCATGTTTGTACTAAACGAGTTTTACTGTATCTAGAAGTTCTTTTTAGTTTCTAAACATCACTTTCTTGCAAGGTGAAAAAAAATCCTTTTTGGTACACTAGTGTTAATATCGATTTCTGGTAATTGAATTTTTTGCATGATAGCATGCATGTCGGCCACGCCCCCTTGTTGGTATGCTTATGAGGTGTCCGTGGATGAGTCTTTCAATGGATGTAGCGGGGGAAAAACAGTGGTCAAGAAAACAAACTTCACCTCGGCTCCGTATCTCGCTGTAGTCTTGTGTAACAGTACAAGGTATGAATCAAATTAAATTCAAATTCAGTTACAGGGTTCCATATCGATATTAAGTGTGTCCTTTAATTAGTTATTACTGTGTCCTTCCAATTACTTTTTTCACTATTAGGTAAAAGTAAATAATGGTTAAAAAGACACTTAAAGAGTTTTAATCAGAATCACACTGCAGAAATATGTGAGTACAATAAAAAGTTCAATGTATTCGGACATGTAGCGGGTGGCTTATGGACATCTCATTAAGTATTCGCATTGGTGACTTTGTCTATCCAGGTTATATTTAGCGGGCAAAATATTTTCTTTGCTTTCATTTTATGTTTTGTGGCAAAGCAGTTCCTGCTACCAGTTATAACTAGTGTGCATTTTAGATACAAGTTTTTCCTTGGTGCAAACTTAACGACAACCTTCTTAAACATTGGAGACGGGAGCGGATCTGGAGAAGATCAATGTGAACTTGTAGGTGGATCTGAAACTTCTGCAGTAGTGGCGGGAGACTACCCATCTTCTCCGGCAGTCACAGGTAAATACCTATAACATTACAAAATACCTATAACATTACAAAATACCTATAACATTATTACAAAATACCTATAACATTACAAAATACCGATAACATTATTGTTTTTTCAGCTAAAGGTCCTTCTTCCCCTTAAATAAGTAATATTCGCATGTTTTAACATGTAGAATTTTCTTTGACTTGAGCTATATTAGACCGAAATATCTGATGTTTTCCAGTTTTTGTTGTACTTTTTACGATGTTGATATTTTACGTTAATGTTTTCTTGGCTCGTAAAATATCCTGAAAACGTCAGATATTTCAGACTAGAGCTATACAAGCTACATGAGAGAGGGAGAGAGAGAGATTGTCCAGTTATCCTATTAACGGATAAATCCGGATTGTAGGTTATTATCGGAGGTATGTGGGGGAGGAATTTACTGTTGGGAACATTGGTTACATGCAGTCATCCTACCATTTCAACACTTACATGGAGTGCGGAGTGGCCATTCCAGGAACAGACCCCGTCGTCTTCTAGTTGGATTGTCTTAAATCATGAACACCGGCAAAATTTCTCTTCGATCTTTCATATTCATAGTTTGCTCAAGGGCAGTTGTTTTTTCTGTGATCAAATTTCATTGTTTGAAGTTTTTCATATATAGTGTCAATTAAATGAGGATTGTATATTAATATAAACCTTTAAGTTTTAAAAATTCTCTCTTTAGGAAATAGTGTTTTGTCTACCTGAGAATTGGAAGATTTGGGATTTTAAAGGGTACATTGTACATCATACAAATTGAGCTACAAAGATGATGAAAAGAACAGTCTCAAAAAAAGACCCAAGCGCGAAAAGCAGGGTAGTTAGAGTATTCCCAATTATTCTCTATTTGCTAAAAGTCAGTGGCTATATATCAATAAAAACAATTGATATTTTATATTTTCAGAAATTCATGCAACTCTGCTCTTTAAGGTTCATAAACCCTCTGCTCACTCATATAAAATGTTGCTTGAACCGTAATGATTTTCCAAAAGAAATGTATTTTATAAGTAAAATACGAGCAATTATAGCATAGCTTGCAGGTCAAAATTGGACAAAAAAGATACAACTTGTGTTTTTAGTAATTCCGTCATAAAAATGGCAAAATGTTTAAAACTCAGATAGCCTTGTACATTATACAATCACAAGAATTTGCTATAAACATGGAAAACTGCCAATACACGTAATATTTATATATAAGAGTCATTTCTAATTTTTTACAAAAGAGAATCTACAACTTTGAGAATGAAATTATAATTTAAACACATTTTTTTCTTCCAAAATATTACTATGCACTTTCTTCAAAGGAATGGATAATTTACACGAATATATTACAGACATATAATGGTAACAAAAGTACTTTGAAATAGATTAATTAAACCTTATATATTTATGGCAAAATAAATATCCTGAGAAGAATGAGCACCTTATATTTTTTTAACAAATTAACATCCCCCATGAGGTGTGAATTCATTAATAATTTAATTAATATGAAAATAATATAACTTTTGCAAAAATTATTTCAGTCATAAAAATTTTCAATTTTTTACAAACATATTATTTTATTAACAGTGATTTCTTCCACAATAATATATTAGGCCCAGAAAAAATGTATTCAACAATGAAACCTAAATGGCACCTTGCAACATCAACTAACACAAAAAGAAAAGGCGACATTTGATAGTCAAATGTGTTTTTCAGGTTCCACAAAAATAATACATAAATATTGCATGTAGTTGAGTGTAACATTGAAAATTTTCACCCCTCGAAAACCATTGTCAACCGAGGTGCAGCAAAGGTTGACAATGGTTTTCGAGGGGTGAAAATTTTCAATGTTACACTCAACTACATGCAATGTTTATTATATAATTATAGCCCTTTGACGAGGTCGATATATCTATGGATTGACCGAATTAAAGGGCTACATTTGTTATATTATTTTTTAACGGAGCTTGACAAATTCACCACAAGTTTTCTCTCTTGTTTTCTTTTTTAACACCGAGAGACTAGAGGTGAAACAAAATCTGTGAAATGTATGTTATTCTTTGTACCGATGGAGTAATTTAGGGGATTTCCTTTTCAAAAAGACTAATTTGTCTCATTAAGTTTGTATTGATTTTTGAAAAACATATCTATTTAGTTTTAACATAAAGTAGATTCTTCTTCAAGGCATCGTATGTCTTACTAATTAGTTACTTAGTATTACAGAACATCACAATTATAAATAAGAGTTGAAGTACAATCTTCTTTTTAGAATAATCAAGTCATACTTTGTCTTAGCTGTTAAGAATTCGGCATAAAAGTTGTTTTATAGAAAATTATTTCCATTTTTAAAACCAATTAGTCGATATGCATTTAAGAATCTATAAATAGTAACTCAAGTCTTTATGCTGTTATATAATTGATCATGTCATCAAGTTTGAGCCAATCAGAGAGCTTGGAATATTTGAAAAAAAAAATATGATATTATACTGAATGTTTTATACAAGTATTACAATATTTACATTTCCAGTAAATTTCCCCTATGATTCTTTACAAAATAAAATGCAGTATATTTTCTCATGAACTACATTAGGTATGTACCACGAATAAGCATGAATATCTCCATTGTTACGTCATAATACCGTCATCAGAGAAATACTGTAAATTTAAGAAATGAATTTAATTTTTTGAAGATTCATGAGGTATATGAACTACAACGCTTCACGTCGGCATATTTATCATTAAGCGCTAACGCGCATCATGAAATATGCCGACGTGAAGCGTCGTAGTTCATAACCTCATGAATCTTCAAAAATTAAATTCATTTTATAAGTGAACCGTGCGCGCATAAATTCTGCGCAGTTGCTATTTTTTGGAATATCACCCATCGTCAAGCACTGTTGACTGTTGCTACGCTGGTGGGCGTGGCTTCATTATTCAGCAGGTAATAGTGATTTTTAACAAATGTTTCTCGACCAATCAGATTCAACTAAATTACATGAAAGTATAATATTATTAATTGTTGAATTGTATAACCATGTACGTGATGGTGACAATCTGACCAAGTTCAAATTTAGCTGCACTTTGTTGCTAGTCCATCAGTTCCAGAGGTAATGTATGATTCAGATGATTGACCAACGATTAATATGAGGAAGTAGATCTTTAGTTGAGGCTTTCCAAACTGACCAAATGACATGAAAAGACAAATTATTCATACTGGTTATTTCGTATAGCTATGCTGTCATGTTTTAAAACAAAAAAAACTTTTAAAATGCTTTGATGATTTGGTAGAAATATTTAATCATAACTCTTCTTGAGTACAATTCTATTACTGAAAAAAATTGTATAGAAATTTCTTTATCAAAAAGGTCATTTATGTTTTCAAACTCAGATTACTGAAAGGTTTGTTGGCGTGCTAACACAGGGCGAGAGAAAAAAATTCATGACTGATTTAGCACAAAACATTCACAATCTTTTTATCCATGCCAACTAGTCATAGTCCAGTAAGGAGGAACATTTTCTATCCCTTTATCCATTTAGGACTCATTTGTAAAACATTTCATTGGCTGAGAAAACTTACAGATGTTGTTTATCTGAATGAGAAAGCGGCCTTGATTGATACATGGTCTGATGGGAACATTTGGTCGGGGATTCCCCCCGTCTGGGTGATGGCCTCCTCCGGTGCCACCTCCAGTACCCCCACATTGTCCAGACAGTTAGAACTGAAGAAAACATAGTCCACAGCTTTCCGGAAGGTGGTCAGATGTGGTTCTCTACCCTGAAATATGAATAGATTACATTTTACATAAGATGTCCTTATGCAATAAGGGGTTCAAATTAAAAGCATTAGCACATGGTCTAGATTTTTTCGGAGTTGGGGGAGGGGGGTATACAATGTTAATCTGAGTAATATAGAGCATTTTATTACATATGAGATATCAATTTGTTGGATTCCACGCCGGGATCATGAAGCATTTTAAGCTCGTGACCCTGAAATTATCAATAAGTTCATCAGACCAAATTAAAAATCCTTCGGAATTTTGCATATTCAAGTTGTTGTTATATGCAAATTAAGTTTTATTTTTAATAATAATAATTTTCTAGATGATTGAAAATTTGACTTGAAGTCCAAGTCTTCTGAAGTTTGATGGTCCGGAAGCATGAACATTAAACGTTTTATCACTGTGACCTTTCCTTGTCTCACCTGAGCAGCTTTATATGCACTTTTCATACTGCTGGATGTATGCTGAAATGCCCTCCACAATGTGTTGATTAATGATGATTTCTACAACAAAATTTACCAGAACATTCAAACTCATGTATTAAATTCAATTTTTTCTCATAGATTTTTATGATTTTTGAACTGAACATGAGCAGCAAAACCTAACTTCCATGCTGTAAATCACCAAATTTATCACCTTAATTTTGTGAAATACGTACCTCTTTGGTCTAAAAAGCGAGACAATTTCTTTATGAATTTGGTTATTGTTGAAAATATATAATACAAATATCTTCAAGAAAGAAATTTTTTGAGTAATAAAAATCTTGTACTTAAAAGAGAAATAAAGTTCTCACGAGTAAAAAGTGATTTATTCAAAACATAATTATTTTCTTATTCATTTTTACCACAAAACTAAACCAAATAGGAACTTTGCACTCACTGATCCATCCTGGAATTGTAAATTCTCCAGTGACTGGAGTTGTTGAATGCAGGCATCAGACAGGTATCTCTCTGTACACAGCTGATAACCCGGGCTGGTCACCTCCGAGTTAAAGTCCCCACATATAATATGGGGGTTCATGTCACTCCCTGCCTTATTAACTACCTCTTTAATGGCACATGCAATCTGAAAAGTTTCACAAACAAGAGGCCCATGGGCCACATCACTCACCCGAGCACTGTGGCTAGGAAAAAAGTAGAAATGGTTTATTATTGGAGAGTTTAAATCCAAAAGTAAACCTTTGACCAGTTATGGTTTTGCTATTCTTGAGAAGATGATTTTTAAAGAATCTTCCTATATATTTCTATGTAAAACTTGGGTCGGCCATTGTGGCCCCGCCCTACCCCCGGGGGTCATGATTTGAACAAACTTGAATCTACACTACCTGAGGATGCTTCCATATAAATATGATCAATTATGGCTTTGTTATTCTTGAGAAGAAGATTTTTAAAGAATTTTCCTATATATTTCTATGTAAAACATGGGTCGGCCATTGTGGCCCCACCCTACCCCCGGGAGTCATGATTTGAACAAACTTGAATTGACACTACCTGAGAATGCTTCCATATAAATATGATCAATAATGGCTTTGTTATTCTTGAGGAGAAGATTTTTAAAGAATTTTCCTATATATTTCTATGTAAAACTTTGGTCGGCCATTGTGGCCCCGCCCTACCCCCGGGGGTCATGATTTGAACAAACTTGAATCTACACTACCTGAGGATGCTTCCATATAAATATGATCAATTATGGCTTTGTTATTCTTGAGAAGAAGATTTTAAAGAATTTTCCTATATATTTCTATGTAAAACATGGGTCAGCCATTGTGGCCCCACCCTACCCCCGGGGGTCATGATTTGAACAAACTTGAATCGACACTACCTGAGGATGGTTCCATATAAATATGATCAATTATGGCTTTCAAATTGTTATTTTTGAGAAGAAGAAGATTTTCCTACATATTTCTATGTAAAACTTTGGTCGGCCATCTTGGCCCCGCCCTACCCCCGGGGGTCATGATTTGAACAAACTTGAATCGACACTACCTGAGGATGCTTCCAAATAAATATGATCAATTATGGCTTTGTTATTCTTGAGAAGAAGATTTGTAAAGAATTTTCCTATATATTTCTATGTAAAATATTGGTCGGCCATTGTGGCCCCACCCTACCCCCGGGGGTCATGATTTGAACAAACTTGAATCGACACTACCTGAGGATGCTTCCATATAAATATGATCAATTATGGCTTTGTTATTCTTGAGAAGAAGATTTTTAAAGAATTTTCCTACATATTTCTATGTAAAACTTGGGTCGGCCATTGTGGCCCCGCCCTATCACCGGTGGTCATGATTTGAACAAACTTGAATCGACACTACCTGAGGATGCTTCCATATAAATATGATCAATTATGGCTTTGTTATTCTTAAGAAAAAAAATTTAAAGAATTTTCCTATATATTTCTATGTAAAATTTTGGTCGGCCATTGTGGCCCCACCCTACCCCCGGGGGTCATGATTTGAACAAACTTGAATTGACACTACCTGAGGATGCTTCCATATAAATATGATCAATTATGGCTTTGTTATTCTTGAGGAGAAGATTTTTAAAGAATTTTCCTATATATTTCTAAGTAAAACTTTGGTCGGCCATTGTAGCCCCGCCCAACCCCCGGGGGTCATGATTTGAACAAACTTGAATCGACACTACCTGAGGATGCTTCCATATAAATATGATCAATAATGGCTTTGTTATTCTTGAGGAGAAGATTTTTAAAGAATTTTCCTATATATTTCTATGTAAAACTTTGGTCGGCCATTGTGGCCCAGCCCTACCCCCGGGGGTCATGATTTGAACAAACTTGAATCTACACTACCTCAGGATGTTTCCCCATAAGTTTCATCTTTCCTGGCACAAAGGTTCTTGAGAAGAAGGTTTTTAAAACATACCACCATATTTTCATTAATTCCCAATTAACTCCCCTTGAATGAGGGTGTGGCCCTTCATTTGAACAAACTTGAATCCCCTTTACCCAAGGATACTTTGTGGCAAGTTTGGTTGAAATTGGCCCAGCGGTTCTTGAGAAGAAGTCGAAAATGTGAAAAGTTTACAGACAGACCAGACGGACGCCGGACAAAATGTGATCAGAAAAGCTCACTTGAGCCTTCGGCTCAGGTGAGCTAAAAAGTATGTTGTTATTGATTGTATAAATTTCAATACTCATTACATTTGCAAATGTTTGCCCTCATATAACACTATTTGAACAAGGTGTTTTTACACCTCGGTAAAACATGTTCGTCGTGTGACCATGAATTGATTTAGTCATAAGCGATCTACGTAATTTCATAGTGACGTCTTAAGTGAACGACGTGTTCAACGTATTCAAATTATATCGTTGAGTTTTGAAAAAATGAAAATCTCTTATGGATTTAAAACTTCGGTGCTATAAAACTTTTTAATAAATCAGTCACAAATGTAAATATAAGTAATAAGGTATCATGGCACATGATCAAATCTTCCATAAAGCCCTTCGAGCTTCATGGGATTTGATCACGTGACCAACCCGTTTTACATCATAGTAAAACTAAAAAAATGATACCTTATTTCTTAATCAGACTTGCATAAAAATAATTTTTCAAAGGAATTTTTGAGGTACATGTACAGTTAAAAAACGCTTCTAAGAAAGTGCTATGGATGGACAACTCTGTTCTGTTATTAAGTACATTTTACATCTATCCGCAATTCATTATATCTGTTAAATTAAATTCACAGGGCATAAAAACACTTCACTGTAAGTAGCAATTATAAGCATTTCACTGTTACGTCTGTTAGCTTGGTTAACTGTATCCATCTAGCCCTACCTGTATGCACTTTACATCTTCCACTCTGATTCTGCCCCAGTGGACATGGATATTTCCTACAGTAAGGATCTGTCCAGTTCTATTACACTGAAGCTTGACCAAGACCATTACATCGGGACGATTTAGGTACCCCTTGATGGCCTCCTGTTGTGAAGGGTCCACCCCTTCATCAACTTCCTGTAATAGGACATCAAAGAAAAAAATTCTTGTATATTACTATGATATCAATATATTGGTAATTCTTTGTGGTCAATTCTAAATTTTATTTGTTAATGGGGATGAAATCCCATGTTGAATGTAGTCAGTAAGAACATACAGAATATTCATATAACTGATAGCTGAATAGTTATTATTTATGGTAATTAAATGAAAATTCACACATTTCATATAAAGTAACATTAATAAGTCAGTTACTAATAATAAGTAACATTAATAAGCCTAATAAGGCAGTGTAACTGCTACTTCTTATGATGATACCGGTGATTGAAATTCGTTTACTCAGTTATCACTCAACTAATGGTGATAAAATTTAAATTCAGATAGTCACAGTTGGTGTTGCAAGCTTGTTCCCTCAAAAACTGTAAAATTTTGTGTCTGTCTAATATATGTATAAAGAACAAAATTTAAAACGTATTTACACTAACGACTTGGCGTACCTTATTTGCTAGTTCAGCCATGGAGTAGGTATTGCTTTCTACAATGGTAAATCGACTAGATTTGTAGAAGAGGGCCTCTCCTTCGTTAAAGTAATCGTCAGTACGCTTTCTCATCAGTCCCTCATATCCCATTCTACAAATGAAGACAATAAATATACTCAAAGAATGTTAGAACCAGGTTAGTTTCTAATCAAGATATTTCGGGAGGCATGAAACCATCAAGTTAATTGTTAACATACCGGTATTAAAAACTAGATGCTGTCATGAGACAGTAATACCCGCACTATGGTGTTTGCCTCTAAATGCACACTTCTTCATATTGGGCTTTACCAAGGAAAAAGTCAATATAATTCAATAATTTACATAATACATGTATTCATCAAATTGAGCATAATATGCTCAGGTGACCATGTAGCT